TCTTGGGCGCATCATATATACGTCAGATTCATCTGTAAAACTGATATATATGACAATCCAATGTCCAACTCGTTAGTCAATACTTTACATTTTAAAATTTTACTTTTTTCACATCTTTACTTTTTTCACATCTTTACTTTTTTCACATCTTTACTTTTTTCACATCTTAAAATTTTATTTTCTTTTAGTTTTTAAACTTTCGTGTCTTTTTTTATTTTTTTTACATATTCAACGTTTGACTTTTTTGCGTTTTCTATTTTACCTTTCATTTCATACTTCTAACATTTAACTTTTTTTGCTTTCCGTTTTACTTTCTTTATACTTTTAATATTTTTATATTCTTAAAGTTTATTTACACTGTTAATATTTCTAATAATTACGTTACTACTTGTTTCATTTAAATATTTAGGTTTTTACTTTGTCGTGCTCCGTTGGTGATTTATCTGACATCTTAAATCAAAGGGCAGTATATGTTTTCTCTTACATTATTATTTATAACTTACTCACTTGGATTTTTCGTTATCTAAAAAATGGGTGGACGACCTCTTTATTAATTGTATGCTGTTAGCGAATTGTGATTTTATTTTTTTGGTCGTTCCACTTCTAATCGGCAATCTTGTGCCGTTGGCGGCTTGTTGATTAGAACTCAACTTTCACATGATGATTATTAAAATTCTGAGAAAGTTTTTTTTTTTTAATTTTTATTAATTGAATATTAAATGTTAATTACTGATTAAATCATTATTATTTATTGTACTTAATATAAACAGATAATGAAAAAAATCAAAACGAGTCAAGAAAACCTTAGCTACCTTTTAAATGAACATATTAAATATTTAAGACGTTATTTGAGGCACCTAGAACTTCGCGAACCTTCAAAAAATTCAGTCTTATGGAATTTTGTTAATAACGAAATTGAAGTAACAAAACGCCATAAAGAACAAGTTGACCAATCCAAAAAAACAACTGATTATGAGAGAGAAATAAGAATGCCTAATCGAGAAATCAGCCGTCTTCAACGAACCATCAAGGAACTTGAGAAAGTGATTAAAGAACTTCATGAAAGAAACGAACAAATCAGAAAAGAAA